ATTGTCTATTCTATTTCTGGGGAAGGAAAGTATGCTTTTGTTTACCTTCTTCCATCCATGTCCCTTCAGTGTTCATTATGAGAAGCAACCTCCTCGAGGCCTGACCTTACAAAGTAGGTTTGTTTGTTATTATTTCCTTTTCAATATAAAAAAGAGGAAGGGGAAAAGCAAAACTGCATCAGGGGCCGGCGCTGTGGCTCAACAGGCTAATCCTCCACTAGCGGCGCCGGCACACCAGGTTCTAGTCCTGGTAGGGGCGCCGGATTCTATCCCGGTTGCCCTCTTCCAGGCCAGCTCTCTGCTGTGGCCCGGGAAGGCAGTGGAGGATGGCCCAAGTGCTTGGGCCCTGCACCCCATGGGAGACCAGGAAAAGCACCTGGCTCCTGGCTCCTGCCATCGGATCAGCGCGGTGCACCGGCCGCAGCGCGCCAGCCGCGGCGGCCATTGGAGGGTGAACCAACAGCAAAGGAAGACCTTTCTCTCTGTCTCTCTCTCTCACTGTCCACTCTGCCTGTCAAAAAAAAAAAAAAAATGGAGAAACAAAGAACTCAGAGTAGTGCCCGCGCCGTGGCTCAATAGGCTAATCCTCCACCTGCGGCACTGGCACACCTGGTTCTAGTCCCAGTCGGGGCGCCGGTTTCTGTCCTGGTTGCCCCTCTTCCAGGCCAGCTCTCTGCTGTGGCCAGGGATTGCAGTGGAGGATGGCCCAAGTGCTTGGGCCCTGCACCCCGTGGGAGACCAGGAGAAGCACCTGGCTCCTGCCTTCAGATCAGCGCGGTGCGCCGGCCGCAGCGTGCCAGCCATGGCGGCCATTGGAGGGTGAACCAACGGCAAAAAGGAAGACCTTTCTCTCTCTCTCTCTCTCTCTCTCTCTCTCTCTCTTACTATCCACTCTGCCTGTCAAAAAAAATAAAAAAAAATAAAAATAAAAAAAAACTGCACCAGTAGTAGGTTCTCAAACTGCTTCTCCCGTGAAAGACAAAGACAATGGAGGGGAAGGATGTCTGTGTTCAAGTGTGAATGTGAGTGATCGGAATATGTTTGGGAACCTAGAAGGTGTCTGCCTTCACTGAGGGCGAGCAGAGAGTACAGCCAGGCTCTGAAGCCTCCTCTGGGTTGCTGACTGACAAAGCTCCTGGGAGAAGAATCCCCCTTCATCAGTTCTTCCAGCACTGTGCCCTGCCTGGTCTACGCTGGGTAGAGAAGTGGGAGGGAACTAATCTCTGGGTGATACAAAGGAAACACAGTCTGTGGGGCTGACTGGACAGATCAGAAGGTTGTGTACGAGGGATATACCAGAAATACATGCACTTCTGAGAGACCCTAAAAAGTCAAAGCTAGGCTGGCACCACACTTTGGGGGTTATCCTCATGTAGAGTCATTTGACAATCCAGAAGAAAAGTATATTAATATAGTTTTGCTTATTTCATGCAAGTATGGTTTGAGATTGTTAATATCAAATCTATTCTGAACTAATACTCCAACCTTGGACCCACTCAACAATGTTTTCTAAAAGATGAGGGTACTTCATGGAAAATAGAATTAAAAGATAAATCTATTTTGGGGCTGGCATTATGGCCAAGCAGAGAAAGCCTCTACCTATGATGCCAGCATCCCCTGTTGAAGTGTTGGCTCTGGTCCTGTCTTCCGTCACTCTGCCATTCGAATAAATAAATCTTGAAAAAAAATTTAAAGTCCTTGCAAAATTTAATAATACACATTTTCCTTGAACTTTCTGAATACCCCTCGTGCCCCATCACTCTGCCTTTCTTGATACTCCAGCATCATTAAAATTGCTCAGCTCTGTAAGAAAACTGGATGGGAGTCATATGGATGTTAGCAGAATAGAACGTGTGCCATGAATGAGTTTTTAAAAATTTATTGATTTTCACTTTATATGAAAGGCAGAAAGAGACAGAAATCGTCTATTTACTTGTTCACTTCCCCAAATGTCCATTACAACTAGGTTTAGGCAGGCCCAAGTCAGGAGCCCACAATGCAATCAGGGCCTCCCATAGGGAGTACTGTGCCATCCCCTGCTGCCTCCCGGGGCGCACATGGACAGGCAACTGAATCAGAAGTGGAGGATTCAGGACTCAAACCAGGCACTCAGAAACGGGCTGTGGGAATCCCAACAGCAATGGTAACCTGTGCACCACAACCTCCAGCCCCATGGAACAGCTCCGTCATCCACATCGCAATCTTGTGTAGTTGTCTCTCCGTGGTACCAGGAAAAAGTTACAATTAACTATCTATCAAAATAGTAGTTTCTCTGACTGCCAAAATCAAATGGCTTTGCCTCAAAGGAGCACGGACATGCATCAGGATGACTGTTTAAATTATAAATAAGAACATGAAAATAGAAATGTCACACACACATACATACACACACACCAGAATTCTGTCCTTGAATTTCATGAGACTTTCTGGTGATCTGAGGGTTTTTACTAATAGTTTTCTAACAGTAACCAAAATTTGGTGGACTAGGAACCATTAATATCTTTTCTGTAGTTAATATGTTCGTGTCCTTTAATGGGAAGAATAAGAGTGTTATCTTGCTTTAAGGGTTTGGTTGACAGTAAGCCGCTGACTTTAAAATTTTACCTGTATGGAACACGTTATTAGAAGCAGCTACACAAATGTTGACACATCCTTAATCCACTGATTTTCAGGATGCCACTCAACATTCACTTGGCCCTTGCCACTGCATTATTAGTAACTGAAACAGCAAACATAATTAAGATTGGGCCCTGCCTTTATGAGGATGACTACTGTGTAAGGAGAGACAAGAATTAAGATGGGGGGTGGGGGGAGGCTGGCGCTGTAGCATGGCAGGGTAAGCCTACGCCTGCAGTGCCAGCATACCATATGGGTGCTGGTTCGAGACCTGGCTGCTCTACTTCCAATCCAGCTCCCTGTTAATTGCCTGGGAAAGCAGTGGAAGATGGCCCAAGTGCTTGGGCCCCTGCCTCCATGTGGGAGACCTGGAAGAAGCTCCTGGCTTCAGCTGGGTCCAGCTCCAGCCATTGTAGTCATTTGGGGAGTAAACCAGCAGATGGAAGACCTCTGTCTTTGTCTCTCCCTCTCTGTGTATGTAACTCTTACTCTCAAATAAAATAAATCTTCTTTAAAAAAATTAAGAGTTGGGGCTGGTGTTGTGGTGCAGGTTAAGCCACCACATGCAACCAAATGGGCACCAGTTTGAGTCCTAACTGCTCCACTTCTGATCCAGCTCCCTGATAATGCACCCAGGAAAGCAGCAGAAAATGGCCCAAGTATGTGTGACCCTATCACCAACGTGGGAGACCTGTATGGAGTTCCAGGTTTCTGACCTTAGCCTGCCCCAGCCCCAGCCGTTGTGGCAACTGAACCAGCAGATGGGAGTCTTCTCTCCTTCTCCCCTTGCGCCATCACTCTGCCTTTCAAAGAAATAAATCTCATATAAAACATTATGATTATACCTATTGAAAAGAGAACCAGCTACTTAGCCTGAGGTGGCGAAGGATACCTTCAGAAAAGAGGTAAGATATGATGGACAAAGAAAGGAAAAGTAAACCAGATGTCCAGAGAGCATCTCAATTAGCAAAATCATGCCAAGCTGAAGCACTAGGAATCCATGTGCCCAGAATGCTGAGTTAAAAAGGTGGTCCATAAGGGAAGACAGAAGAGACATTCAGCCCAAGGGAGACCTTCCTCCCCAAGCCAAGAGTTCACATTTAGACCAAAGGCAATCCTGGAATATTTCCCAATGTTATCCTCCAGCTCTTGTCATTCTCCTGGAGTTATCTCAGGTCACCACTTCTCCCACTTCCACAGCTTCCACTATTGTCATATTGATAGCCTCAGGGGAATGGGGGAGAGGCCTCCCATTAGCTCTAAGCACCTGTGTTTTTCTGCAGTTTTGTGGCCAAGGATGCAATGATAGGTAGATTTTAGAACACAGAGAAACCATGCTTAACCTACCAGTCATATGACCTTTGTAACTCTGACTTTCAAATAAATCAGTCTTAAAAAAGAATAGATTCAACTTTGTGTACTGACAGAATCCATAATCTCCTTTTTTGGATGCTACATTTCCATGATAATATAAAGAGAAAGGACTGTATTCATTTTTTTTTCATTATCTTGAAGATTCTTAGAAGCTTCTAGCTTGAAAATAAATTAGAAAACTTGGAGCTTAACAAGGTCCTCCCGAATCATACCACCACCCTATTTCAGTGCTGTGTACACATTTAATTATCCCAAAGCACCACTCTGAAAATATTCCGTACACTGAACTGGTGCTGCCAGCCAGCAGCAGTAGCTCTGGTTGGTCTGCTTCTGTCAGGTTGACCTTAACTTCGCAAAGAGAAGTCCAACACACTTGAAGTCATTTGAGTTGAAGTACCTTTCATGAGTTATATAAGAAAGACCTGCGGATTTGCCTTTTGGGTACATTTATTTTAGCAAAACGTCTAAATTTGATACAACTGATTGTTATTTTCTGTGATAGGGAAAGAAATAGAAAATTTATAAGACTGCTAATAAGTCTTCTCAACTGTTCTAAAACACTGTCCCCTTTCAAATTCCTGAAGTATACGGTATTCTATTAAAGCATGTAAAATACCAGGTTCACAAAATGATCACTTTTTCAACTACTGCTGTCAGCGGCAAAGGGCTTATGTACAAATATATCCAGTGCCACCAGCTGAGAATGGACAAAGGTGAAGGGGAGGCGCATTCCAGTTAGTGGAACTGCAGGTCAGCTCGTGGAGTTCTAGAATTCTCTACGACTCCTCCAAATGAGCAACAGTGTTTGGCCAGGCCTCCTGCAAAGAGGAATGGCCGGAATGAGGACAGAGGAGTCTGCGTTTCCTTATGGGAAACAATGGTAACGTGGGTCCATCCACAAATGGAGATTTCATTTAGAAAAAGCAGCGAAGAACTGTTTGAAGAAATAGGTATCAGATTGCTTGAGATCGATGGTCTATTTACTTGACTCCTCATTTCTTTCTGTGCAGCCAGTGCTGATTTTCCATACAATCCAGGACAAGGGCAAGCTATAAGAAACGGCGTCAACAGAAACTCAGCTATCATTGGAGGTAAGTGATGCACACAACAAGCTTTCCCATGGCTCCCCACCTGTAGAAGGTGATTCTTTTCAGTACCATGATAGTCTAGGACAAAAAAGTCAAATAGATGCTTATATCATGCATTTTGCTGTTTTAATACAGCATCAGATTATGAAGTACATGGAAGGAACAGTGGTAAATTTAACCTGGTTACTCTTAATGCTGGTTCTTAAAAAAAAAAAGAAAAAAAGAATGGTAGTGGTAAGCTAAGCAAGCAAGGTCTGAATATGCCAGTAGGCAGCAGTGACAATAGCCGGGACATTTCTTTATCACTCCCTATCTTCTTCACTCTCATTCTCTTGCATCCTAAGTGATCCAGGTTAGTATAAACTGGGAAGGGGGTTCAGATTCTCCCATCCCACAGCAGATACTGGATTCAGTATCCAGCTCCTACTCCTGTCTCAGGCTTCCTGCTAATGCAGACCTTGGAGGGCAGTGGTGAAAACTCACTGCTTGAGTTCTTGCCATCCACACGGGAGACCTACATTGAGTTCCAGGCATCATCCCAGCCCAGTCCTTCACTGCAGGCATTTGGAGAGTTAATCAGTGAATGGAAGCGCTAGAGATCTGCATGTCTATCTCCCTGTCTCTCATTCCTGTCACTCTGCCTCTCAAATAATTTTAATTATTTTAAATGAGAAGGAATTTGAAGCCTGGTTTCAGTTATCTTAATAAAAATTATCCGACAATAAACCAGAATATCTAAAATATTCCAGGCTTTTCTTCTCACCATGGACAACTGCAGGATAATCGGACTCTGCTAGCGTCATCCCTCATTTGGGATAATGCTAGCCTTGTTGCCCACTGCCTAGTCTCCCTGTTCCTTCGGTCTCTCATTCCAGGAAGTCCTTTCCTCCCTAACTACATACAGCTAATACTGTAAACATCTCAAGGGTTTTAAACTCTGCCAACCAACATGGCTTAGACAGTAAAATTCTTTTCCACAAGACGAAGGTAGATACCCACAAATGAACTTCAAAAAGTTTGTGAAACAATAGAATCAAAAGATAAGCTTATTTTGCAAATGTTTTTAAATCCATGCATATAAGAAGCTTATGGAAAACATGTATTATGAAAAAAACTATACATTGATTTCCAAATTTTTGCACCAAAAGTCTTTTATTTTTCACAAAAATTTTTCAAGTACCTTTACATGAGTATAAAATTAGTATATATTCAGAATGGGGCTTAAATCACATTGTCCAAAGTTCTGGTATATTCTTGTCAAGCTCCCTATCATTGCTGCTTTTTGCTGTAAAGTCAACTTTATTGAAGAATATTGTGCAGTGACCTTGACAAATGTATTCACTCATAACCACCACAAGAAACAGAACATTTCCATCCCTCTCAATGCTCTCTCAAGTCTTCATAGTAAAATCCTTCCCTTGTCCCACTCCCAGCCAAGGCAACTGCTGATTTGATCTCGCTATAGATTCATTTTTGCTTTTAGAATTTGTTACCTGGAAGCCTGTAGTCCATAGTCTACGGTACCTTATTTCCTTCACTCAGTGTAACACTGCTGAGATCTGTGCACACTGATACATGTCTCAATAGGCCATTTATTTTTATTGCCAAGTTGTTTCATGGAATGAGTGTACTGTAATTTGTTTTACCCACTTACCTATTGATAAATGCTTGGTGTGTTTCCAGATTTGAGCTATTATGAATAAAGCTACTATGAATATTCTTGTATAAGTCTTACAAGTGTACCTTCTCTTTAGTAATTTCCAGCCATGCAATTCCTGTTAATATAGAAAATTGATATTTAAAAGAAACTGCCATACAAGTTTCCAAAATGATTAAAACTTTTACAGTCCCATGATGAATGTCTGAGAGGCCAATTTATTCCAGATATTTCTAACACTTGGAATAGTCAATTGCCTTAATTTTAGCCACTTGAGTGGATCAATAATGGTATCTCCATGGTTTTTATGTGCAATCATCCAATTACTAGAAACACTAAGCATCTTATGTTTCCTCTGATTTTACTATCAGGATAATGCTTGCCCATAAAATGAGCTGAGTAGTGGGTTTTCTTCCTCTAAGACAGACAAGTAAAGGATTAGTAGTATTCTCTTAGGCTAAATTTGTTAATAGTGCAATTCAAGCCTTGTAAATTGTTACTGATTTTCAGTTTAATTGTTCTATCAGTTATTGACAGAAGAGTATGAAATCTCCAAGTATAATTGTGAATTGGTCTAATTCAGCCAATTCACATCACTTTTTGCTTCAATTTGTAGTACTGTTGAAGATAGATAATATACATATATATATATATATCTCATAATGTAACTGTTATGTCTTCTTGATGAATTTACCCTTCTGTCATTATCACTGTATACTGCCTCCTTGTTATAACTACTCCAGTTATGATTAGTGTTTGTTTCACTCATTTACTTTTGTTTCTTTAATGTTTGTCTTATAATCATCATATAGTTGGTTACTCTTATCTACTCTGTCTCTCCTTTTAAATTGAAGTTTTTTAATTTTTTTAAAGATTTTATATGAGCGCCTGTTTGAGTCCCAGCTGCTCCACTTCTGATCCAGCTCCCTGCTAATGCACCTGGGAAAGCAGCAGAGGATGGTCCAAGTTCTTGGGCCCCTGCATCCATGTGTGAGACCCAGAAGCTCCTAGCTCCTAGCTCCAGATTGGCTCAGCTTCGACACTTGCAGCTGTTTGGGGAGTGAATCAGCAGATGGAAAGACCAACCTCTCTATCAAATAAATAAAATAAATCTTAAGAAACAAAAAAGATTTGACAGAGTTGCAGTGACAGGAAGAGACAGAGAGATCTTCCATCCACTGGTTCACTCCCCAGACAACCACAAAGGCTTCCTCCAGTTCTCCCACGTGGGTGCAGGGACCCAAGGACTGGGGCCATCTGCTGCTCCTTTCCCAGGGGCATTAGCAAGGAGCTGGATTGGAAGTAGAGCATCCAGGACTTGAACTGACACCTACATGGGATACAGGCATTGCATGCTTTGTCTATTACACCACAACACCAGCCCCTAATCAGAGGATTTCTATCCATTATATGTGCTTAGACCTGCCCTAATCTGTATTGTTCCATCCGGTAATGTTTTTCACAAGTCCTCTTTGGTTTCATTTTTAAACTTCCATTGTTATTCTGTTTCCCTTCAAATCTCTAAACATATTTATAGCAGCTATTTTCATGTCCTTATCTGCTCATTCCATTATCTCTGTCACTTCTGGATATCCTTCTAATTGACTGACTTTCCCTCCAGTTGGGTGACATTTTTCCCATCTTTGTTTCTTTGCATGTTTGGTTATTTCTTGTTAGATGCCAGACATTATCAATGTTACACTGGGTTTTTTGGTATTATTGCTTTCCTTGAGAAGTACTGAAGTTTGCTTTGGCAGGCCATTAAGTTTCTCACCACTTGATATTTTTTAGTCTCATTTTAAAGCTTTTTAGGGGTAGATTGAGGGTAGCCTTTACTTTCATCCTGTTTTAGCGAAGCACCTGCAGTACAACTCTTCTAGAGCCTGTACTGAATGCCCTAGTTGTTCAATGCAGTCTCCACTATCATCTGTTGGAACATGAACATCTCCTAGCCCTGTGTTGTTCTGGGAATTTTTCTACTTAATATTGGTCTTTACCTGACTTTGTGGAATTTTACCATCTACATACACTCGTGCCAGAAACAGAAGTCTGACTGCATTTTTGTCATTGTTGTCTTGGAGTTTGTCTTACATAGAGAGCAAGGTTTCAGAGAACTGTGGTCAGTGGGCAGGAAGTGTTGGGGGAATAGTCTAAGTTTTTTTTTTTTTAACCTCTGGCACTTCTGTCTCCACCAGGGGTCATTGCTGTGGTGATTTTCACCATCCTGTGCACCTTGGTCTTCCTCATTCGGTACATGTTTCGTCACAAGGGCACCTACCACACCAATGAAGCGAAGGGAGCAGAGTCCGCAGAGAGCGCAGATGCTGCCATCATGAACAACGACCCCAACTTCACAGAGACCATTGATGAAAGCAAAAAGGAGTGGCTCATTTGAGGGGCGGCTTATTTGGCTATGGGCTAGGGAGGGGGGAACGCTGAGGGAGGAGGGAAAGGGACAATAGCACCCTGCTTCATATTCTTGAGCACATCCTTAAAATATCAGCACAAGCTGGGGAGGCAAGCAACAGAATATTCTTGAGACTGATCACCATACACAAAAAAACTTTTTAATATTTCTTTATAGCCAAGTTTCCCCTTCTATATCAAAACAAAATAATACAAAAACTGCTTTTAGAGTTTAAGCAATGGTTGAAATTTGTAGGTAATACCTGTCTTATTTTGTGTGTGCTTAGAGGTGTTCTAAAAACCCGTGGTAACAGGGCAAGTTTTCTACATTTTTAAGAGCCCTTAGGATGTGGATATTTTTTCTTGAGAAAAGCCGATGCACATACGTATGGCCTCCAACATTCTCTTCCTTTTGCATATAGTCAACTTTTAATGGGCTATTGTAGTAACTACTTCGTGTTCATATGATATTTCTTTTGATGTTCTATAAACTGGAAAAAGAGAGGGGCAAAAAGAACCTGTTTGCCAGTTTTCAAAGAGGTCTCAATCCGTGCTGGCTGAGGGTTCCTGCCTGAAACCAGCAGTTGAAAGAGAGAGTGTGTCACACCTGTGTGTGACAACATCCTCAACACAAGTGGAGAGAAGCGCGAAAAAGCCAGGGAAAGTAGTGTACAGTGGGATTGTTGGTTTTATTTTTCATTGAATTCTACAGATAATATTGTTCCATGTATGTAGTCTTAGACTTACTCAATATCTGTAACTATCAACTATAATACTGTGGTAACCAGCTGTTACAAAAGACTTTTCCTCTGTTTTACTTGCAACATACTGGACTACATTATATGTGTATATGCACCTCCATGGAGAATTAGAGCCAGATGTTATGATTTGTTTGCTGTTTCTTTTTATAGTCGTAGCAAAACTATGGACACTTTCTAATGAATGCATAACCTAGTTGTTTTTATTTTGTTTTAAATTCCAAATTTTTACGTCCCTGTAACAAAGTCCTACCAGGGACATAATAAAGTCACGTTATTGCCCCTACTCTGGAATCATATGGAAAACACTGCCATATTTTAAATCAACTTCTCCACGTGTTGTTCCATCCAAAACAGACACTGCCGTGATTCAGGGATCTTCAATAGACACATTTGAACCTCAAGTTCATCTCAAACCTGGTAACTGATTGTTGCTTCTCAGAGAATGGACATGTCTAGTTAATCACACCTCTTAGCTTAAACAGGAACCTTGATCAACAAATAAGTCATTTATTCCAACAAATAAGTCATTGATTTTTAAAGAATAGACTTTGTGTAAACAAATGGGGACAGCGTTCCCTATTGGAGCATCCCAAAACATTAAGTTTGTTTATTAAAAAGAGATTACATCAACATTACTTCTAGAATGACTACCATTATGACCACTATACTTGATGCCTCTTATTTGATAAGAATTTTTAGGCTCCAAATTTCAGGAAGTGAGTATGAACTCCCCTTCCTTCTCCTATAGGGAGATGAGATTAAAAAGATATGAAAGCTTCATGAAATTGGAATTCTATTTGTGAGAACTGTGTACACATACTATCCAAGATTCTCAGCATGCCTAACTTATTGAGGATCTCAATTTCTTGAGCAATGGCAAACATCATCCCAAGCTGCCAATGGCCCATTGCGACAGTGCATGACACATCCCAAAGGAAACGTCAGACCAGGTCCTCTCCATTGAGGTCAAGGGAACAGAACAAAAGGAGTCTGATACCTTTACAAATGCTGGCTGACCTCGGGCTCTCATGAACACCCTTACTTTAAACACGCTTTGGTTATTCTTCCATTCAATACCTTTAAAAAGGCAAAATATTTAATATGACAAAACTATCAAAAAAATGTAGGATTCACAAATGACTCACAGAAAGCAAAGACTACGACTCTCACAGCAAAGCCATATAGACACAGAAAGCAAAGCAAGATGACTATCACTAAGGGTTCTTTTAAGCATTGTCAAATTGGAGAGGCAAATATTAAAAATTATGATTTAGATGTGGCTCCGATTTTTCAAACCTAGTTTGCCAGTATTATTTTGCACATAACAAATGATGATGCCAGATAGAAATTTATCATTTCTTGAATTTCTCATGATAGCCTTAGCCTTGATGCATTATCCCAACACGTTTCCTTTCTTCCCCAAATGATTACAGGATTAAAACTACCAAAGCACAGCCGCTGACACTAAAATGTTCTCATCCTTTTTCTTCCCTCTACTCTTGCCTCCTCCCTGCCACAACAGGTGAGAAGTAAGCTTCCACTTTTCTTTCATCATTTTTCATATCTGGGGCCCATGGTCAGCAGTGATCCCACATCACCGTCAATTAAGACAGAGAGGTCTGACATCCCCTTTTCCCCTAAGAAGGTTACAACGTGGCCAGCAGAACAAGACACAAAAAGAGGGATTAGACAGGAAGTAACTAAGTGCCAAATGAGTGCTGGAAATCTTGGTCTGCCAACTGGGATTATGGGCTTCACCAACGTTCCTCTACCTGTTTATCCAGGCCCTACCTACTACATCCTAAATGCTAAATAATTTATGCAAACAAGAAGGAATAACTTTTCCCCTGCTCCCTCCTCCAACGGCAGGGCGCAATCAGCCTCGGTAGCCATGACGTTATTATCCAAGCTCCATGCCTAAACATGCTTTGTCATTCATACCCCACAAATCGTGACATCCTACATCCAAATACATTATCAAGCAAGCACAGAAAGTGACTGGTAGCCCCTTGAAATAAGAAGAGTAAATTAAAAAATAAAACAACAAAATCCTGGAGGCTACTTTAAGCCTTAAGGAATGCCGGTGGCCAATTGAGTTTTTTTTTTTTTTGTGCAGGAAGAATTCTCTGCACATAAAACAAACATCAGAAGACCTCTCTTTGTCTCTCCCTAACTCTGCCTTTCAAAACAACAAAAAACAAAAAACAAACAACAAACATCTGTGTTCCTAGAAGCAGGGAGTAGAGGACTTGAAACACGAAATGAGTGCCATTATAAACATTCAAAATAGCATATTTCCTAGAGCTCAAGGAAAGCAGCTCAGGAGGTAGTCATTTTATTGTGAAGTATTAAGAAGCACCAGAAAATAGCTTAAGAATTTCCCCTAGTGCCGGCGCCGCAGCTCAATAGGCTAATCCTCCACCTTGCGGCGCCGGCACACCGGGTTCTAGTCCCGGTCGGGGCGCCGGATTCTGTCCCGGTTGCCCCTCTTCCAGGCCAGCTCTCTGCTGTGGCCTGGGAGTGCAGTGGAGGATGGCCCAGGTGCTTGGGCCCTGCACCCACATGGGAAACCAGGAGAAGCACCTGGCTCCTGCCATCGGATCAGCACGGTGCACCGGCCGCAGCGGCCATTGGAGGGTGAACCAACGGCAAAGGAAGACCTTTCTCTCTGCCTGTCAAAAAAAAAAAAAAAAAAAGAATTTCCCCTAGTGGCTTTCAACCAACTGCTCCAAAAAGAGAGAGAGAGAAAGAGAGAGAGACAGCGAGAGCGAGAGAGACAGACTTATGTCAAAGTATTCATTGAAAGTTGATAACAAAGCTTTGTCAGCAAACTTCCTATTGCTCTGCATTTGACCAGAAGGAAACTTTTACTAACAAGAGCAGGAATTCAGAAGCACCAGAAAAAACACTGGCACAAGCCAAAGGGTAGCTCTTCATGGTATTGTTGAACATTTGTTGGGCAGCCATTCCAAGGAAAAGCACGCAGCTACCGGACATGAAAACCCAAGTGTTTGGGTACTGCCAGAAGAAAAATTTAATTCCTTCTATGATACAGTCCTTTCTTCTCTCCATACCATATTGTTCTCTTGGGGTGTGACCATTTAATGAGCCCTTTAAATCTCAAAAAATTAACACTCAATTTGAATCTCTTAATACTTTCCCTTTCACCATCTTGTTAATAAGTAATTTTCAAAAAAAAAAAAAGCTACATTTATTAAACTGAATTCCAGTTTGCCAGCCACCAATAGGTCCGAATTTGCTAGTCTCTGTACAATCAGCTGATCCTGAAATAGGTGAGAAATGAACAGTAACAGGGCACCCAGCTGATTTGGGCTAAAAACCAATGGGCACCTCTTTTACAGGATGTTTTCATGAGTGGGCCCCAAGAGTCATTTACAGAGTCTTAACCCTTGCTCTCTCTCCCAGAATCGCCAGGTGACCTTGGTCAAGCCTCTGTTCCTCTTTGCCTGGTACTTAGAATCAAGGTGTGCCATCTACTTTGTAAGATGCTTGGGCTTGGGAGTTGTCACTGATTCTTGACTGCAGAATACTTTGAACAAGTGGAGCCCAGTGGAAGACTTACTCCATGGCTGTGGGCATAAGTCACATCCAAAGGGACAGTGAGGCCACGACCCGGAACACGGAGACTTGAGGCTGTACAGCTGCTAGACTATGAATCAAGTACCTGCGTGGAGCGAACTTGTCAATTTGAGGAGATGGAACACAGCCAGAGGCAGAGCAATCAGAATTTTTTATGCCCAAAGCCCCACATTCCCATCTGGATGTGACTTATAACTCACCTTACCTATTCTCACACGTTTCGCAATGCGATCAGGCTGGCTTGTAAATCAGCCAACACAGAAGGCAAACGCGCACCACTCCTGTGTGGCCTGGTGACTTGGGGCCTACACCATGCTGACTCTGCATGGCAATGCTGCAAACGTTACTAAGGACCATTTCTCTCACAGCAGCTATTTTTTAAATATGAGTGGTATATGCAGCTCATTGACACTGAAATGGGGAGCTCTTGTTGGCAAACGAGTTCATCTCCCATTGAGCAAAGACTGTAAGAAGGTAATAAAGACATAAACGGACACATGTATGAATATACAAGTCGCACTTACAAGTTTATTTTCTAGATGAAAACATGCTGTAGGAACAGGTCTACTAAGGCAGTCTGCACCGTTTCCAAGTCTGTTTATTTACAGTCACTGCTGGTTTCTGATAGGGCTGTGGAAAATAAAGACCCCTCTCAGGCCAGGAAACAGTGCTAGACGTTACTGATTCCAAGTTTTGTTTGGTCAGCTTTTCAATTTGTTTAGGTGGGCCTGGTAACTGCAGAGGTTAGAGTTGTGAAGAGCTGGACAAAATATTCTTTCTGTAAGATCAATTAGGATTCCATCCTTGGGAAATAAAAATTTCACTCTCTAAAAGCAACAGCATGTAAACTAGAATGAAAGAAGGAAATTATGTATGTATGCCTAATATTCTTTGTGAATGTCTTTCATTTAACTGAAATTATATTAGAAGCCAGATTGATAAATAAAAAATTCAAAATAGTTTTAATTATCCTAAAAGTGATTCTTTGTTGTTTCATACCACTCCATTTCCGACCTTTGGCCAATGTCAGTTCCCAGCACTAAAGCATACATCAGGTGGGAATATAATGTTTTCCAAAGCTGTGGCAATACAATCCCTCCTCAAAGAAAGGTCTTATTTGGATACATCTATGGTTAATCTTCTTTTCCTACATAACTCTCCCTACCACCCCATTTTTCTTAAAGTAGTTTAATGGATATTGACTCCACATCTTGGATTAATTTACACACAGCTTGATAAAAATGCGGTTAGATTTAAGTGAATGCCAGAATATATTCGAATCCTTATTTAGAAAGGGAGAACGGTGCATAATGGGCAAATGGCTCAAGGCCAGTGAACCAGCTGACAAGGACTCAGAATTCATCTGAGGGTGCGACTCTGTCTAAGTGTGTTCCCAGTGCATTAAGAGCTAAGTCATTACTCCCACTTTCTGGTCTTCTATTGCCATTGGGAAGCCATTTCCTTTTAATCAATTCTCAGTGAAGCATTTAAACGTACACCAAATAAGTGTGAATTCCAGTTAAAAGCCCAGCTTCTCTGTTCTTGAACAATCCCCAAGGCCAATCAATATCAACAGCACTCCAGTATATTTAGAAAGCATTATGCCATGGTTCTATTTTGCAAATGTGACCCAACAGGTGTAGAGGGAATGTCACAAAGTGCCTTGAGACAAAAAAACACTATGCTAGTTCATAACAAAAAATCTTTAAAAGGATTAGCTGGCAAGTTTAGGGATCCACACCCCCCACGGTGAGCTTTTGAGCCACAGCATGCCTGTTTCCTTCCCAGGAGCCCCAAGCACAAACCATGAATACACAGAGATCAGTAAGCTACAAGACATGGACCACACTTTGTATAAGGGAATATACGGTATGTGACCAACGCATGGCATATGGGAGAAGAGTAGAGTTGCAGGGGAAGTGCTACATTGAAAAAACTTATCTGATTTTATACACCGTATGGTGTGGTATGGCACCGAGGACTTACTAGAGGAAAGGGAAAATCATGGTTATTATTTTCAAGAAATGATCTGTGTCTTTCCAAATGGATTTATGTATGAAAGCCAACTCTACAGAGTGCTTTGAGCCATCACTAGCTCGCCTTTCCATGGTCACATGAACTGGAAGATGCCTTTCCCTATCAGCACCCTCTTCCCTTCCCCACAAACACATTCGACGTCCTGCAAAGGACCACAGCTCAAAGTAGTCTTGCCAGGAAAAGTTTTCTGATCACGTTTCCACGATCTTTCCATTCGTCTTAACTCATCCTCCAGGTACATGGTGAGTAAAGCGATTTACTGAGATGGTAAGGAAGCAAGTCTGTATACCAAAGTCTTCAAGGAAAGAAACAAATCCTCATGTAGACAATCACCTGAACCAAAGCAAGCGAGAATTAGCCATGTCTTCTAAAAACACAAGTTCAAAATTATAATACTTACACAAGACAGAGGGGCAGGCAATTGGCGTAGTGGGTGAGATGCCAATTCATACAGTCATATCCCATAGCAGAGCATCTAGGTTCAATGTCTGGCTCCAGCTTCCAATTCCCTCTGCTGCCAGTGCAAACCCTGGGAAGCAGCATGTGAGAGCTCAAGGGGCTGAGTTCCCATCAACTATATGAGACCTGGATTGGATTCCTAGATCCTGGCTTTGACCTTGTCCAGTGCTGGTGGTTGATGGTAGGCATTTAGGGAGTCAATCAACAGATGGGAGTGCTTGCTCTGTCTCTAGAGTATATAAAAATATTTTCAGAAATTATAAAAAGATAAAGACATGACATAATCAAAGCTGAGAAATAAACTTATTTTGTATTCACAAATTGGGAGTTGGAAGACAAAATTCTTAAATCTAGGAAGGCAACAGCTAAAATAGGATATGAGGGCAATCTTTAAAGTCTTGAAAGTACAGTTTGCTCCCAAAGATCTAACACAAGGGTGGGAAGCCATTTAGCTATCTAGAACATCATTCATAGGACATAAAAATTATAGACTTAGAAATCAGCCTGCTACAGATTTGTTGAATTTCAAGTCCTGCCTGTCATTCCTTGACGGTGACAGACCAGATGACTCTGCAGACCTTAAACGGCCCATGGACTGACACTCCTCATCCCTGACAGCACACCAAGGCTAGGAACAACCTCTGAAGCTAGACACAATGCAAATGTAAGAAAAAAAAAAGGAAAGAAATACTTCACAGAGAAGTTAGTAAGAACTGCTGCAGGCCCATATATTATACATACACAAACACACACACACACACACACACACGTATACACACACTCATATACACATAGAATCATCTTCCAAAAACATTATTTTAGCACATCCCATACCAGGTGCATTTTTAAAGTAAAACCAAGATGACAATTTGTTCACTTAATAAATATTTATGGAGGGCCTCCTAGATGTTTAACGCCATTCTAGACATTGGAGGTAGTCCAGAGAATAAGACAGTTCTCACCCAACTTCCATTCTGGTGGGAGGAGACAGATGAAGAGCATATCAATAAATAATAAGCCAGAGAACGTGTCTTCTAGACAGGGAATTAAAATGGGTGATATAACCGGGTGTCTGCTTCAGACAGGGTAGGGAGGTCGGTGCCGCCCAGAACTGAAAGAGAGGCAAGAGCCTTGCAGAGAGGAGAGGGAGGCCGGTTGTAGACACAGGAACTGCAGATATAGGAGCCCAGAGGAAGAAGGTGCTTGGAG